CACTTCATGCTTCCTGCTGCTGACCAACTTTATGGAGATGTAAATTTCATTTTCCAACAGGACTTGGCACCTGCACACAGTGCCAAAGCTACCAGTACCTGGTTTAAGGGCCATGGTATCCCTGTTCTTAATTGGCCAGCAAACTCACCTTACCTTAACCCCATAGAAAATCTATGAGGTATTGTTGAGGAAGATGCAATATGCCAGACCCAACAATTCAGAAGAGCTGAAGGCCTCTATCAGAGCAACCTGGGCTCAGAACACCTGAGCAGTGCCACAGACTGATGGACTCCATGACACGCTGCACTGCTGCAGTGATCCAGGCAAAAGGAGCAACAACTAAGTACTGATGATGTACATGCTCATATTTTTCATTTGGCCAACATTTCTAAAAATCATTGTTTTAATTGGTCTTAAGTAATATTCTAATTTTCTCAAATATTGAATTTGAGGATTTCATTAGTTGTCAGTTATAATCATGAACATAAAAAAAAATAAACATTTGAAAAGTGTAAAGTGTCTTAAGACAACTTTGTTGTGATATTGTGCTATATAAATAAACTGAATTGAAATATATCAGTCTGTGTGTAATGAATTAATATAATATACAAGTTTCACTTTTTGAATGGAATTACTGAAATAAATAAACTTTCTCATGATATTCTAATTTTATGACCAGCACCTGTAAACTGATCTGTTCTTCTCCACAGCTTTGTCTTTGACCTGCATGGAGAGTTCCTTGGTCTTCATGATGTCTGTACCTATGTACAGGTGTTGGTTCTGATGGTTCTGTTGGAACAGATGGATTTATGCTGAGATCACCTGACTGCTGGATTGCTCACAGGTGGATCTGAAGGAAAAGGTCAAGGTTTCAAAGCCGGGGAGGTGAAAACATATACACGGGTTTTTCATGATGATACTTTTAAAAACATGATATACGGCTCTGCCCAGAACCATCCTGATGTTCCCAGAATCATCGACACTGCCTGATGAAATAATCAGATCTTCCTTCTGTGGTTTTTACTCCGGTCTCTTTGTGGTGGGAGAGGGAGGATTAGAGACTGAGCCCAATGAGCACAGGACCAGGGGCCCAAATGGATCAGGACCCCTGTGTGAAGGACTTCATGTTTGTGTTAGAAAGTAGGTCAGATATGTTTGAAAACTAGACCAGAACCAGACACAAAAAGACCAGACAGACTTCACGGTGAAAGAATTGTAACCACTCTACTTCTTATCGCTCGCCGTCCAAGGCAACATGCATCACGTATCAGGCAACAGCGTCAGGTAGCAGGCAGCAATAAACAGACAGAAAGCAAAAGATCTCTTTCATCTTCTTCTCCTCAAACTTCAGTCCTCCACTGCGTCTCTGCTCGAGGACTGATGGTTTCCTCTAAGAGGTCAAAGTTCAGACACGCAAACTCTCATTGACTTCCATTGTATCTGGGCTTCCAAACAGGAAGTGAAGCCTCTATTTAACATGACATATCTCCTCCATAAAACCCTGTAGAACCATCAAACAGAACCATCAGAACCTTCAGCTGCTCACGAGTCAGGAAGTTCTTTGACCTGACTTCTAGTTTTCACATAGGGACTGTTTGTCTGTGGCTTACTTTTTATTCTGTAGTCCTGCCTGAAGTACTACTGGTTGTTGTCCCTCCTCACCATGACAACCAGTGACTCAGCAAATTGTGGATCTTCTATATTACCCAGCATGCTTTTCTTTCTTGTTTTTATTCCCATCATGACCAGACAGACTTCATGGTGAAAGAACTGTGACCACTCTTTACTTCTTATCGCTTGCCATCAAAGGCAACAGGCCAAAAGCAACAGGCAAGCAGCAAAAGATAGCAGGCAACAGGCAGGATGCAACAGGCATCAGGTAGCAGTCAGCAAACAACAGGCAATCAGCAGCAGGCAGGAGGAAACATGCAACAGGCATCAAGAAACAGACAGCATGCAAAAGGCAACAGGAAACAGCATCAGGTAGCACTCAGCAGGCAACCAGCAGCAGGCAACAGGAATAAGGCAACAAGCAACAAGCAGCAGGCTCCAGCATAGCAGTCATCAGGGAACAGGCAGGAGGAAAGAGGCAACAGGCATCAAGAAACAAACAGACAGAAAGCAAAAGGCAACAGGTCTCTTTCATCTTCTTCTCCGCAGACTTCAGTCCTTCCAGTGTCTCTCTCTGCTGGAGGACTGATGGTTTCCTCTCAGAGGTCAGAGGTCAAACACACAAACTCTCACCGTCTTCCATTGTATCCGAGCTTCCAAACAGGAAGTGAAGCCTCTATTGAACTTGTAATATCTCCTCTACAAAGCTCTGTAGAACCATCAAACAGAGCCTGTGGTGACACCAGAACCTTCAGCTGCTCACGAGTCAGGAAGTTCTTTGACCTTACTTCAAGATTTCACACAGAGACTGTTTGACTGAGGCTTACTTTTGACTCTGTAGTCCTGCCTGAAGCGCTACTGGGTGTTGTCCCTCCTCACCATGACAACCAGTGACTCAGCAAATTGTGTATCTTCTATATTACCCAGCATGCTTTTCTTCCTGGTTTCTTCCCCCCATCATGGCTGCCCCCATATATCCTGTAGAATCTGTTCTAAATTCAGGAGAATTGAAAGACTAAAGAGTAAACAGGAAGGTTTTAACCTCTAACTCTTTCAGGAATGAAGATGTTCACATCCTGGACAGAGAGGAACGATGGTTTGAGAGGAGTAAAGGAGGCCATCTTTGTGAAAAGAAATCGTCCATCATTAAACAGGGGTGGAGGCCTCCGGGTTCAACTGTCCCCCTCTTACAATGCTGTGATTGCTGGTATCACTCAGCCCTCTGTGAACAGTACACAGCCATCAGTGTGCTAATGATCCATTGTTATGCTGATGGTCCTTCTTGAGCATGTGATCAGCTGGTTTTGGTTGGCAGCAGCAAAACTGGTTGATCCACCCTGAGAAGGTGCTATTTAAGAGACTGAGCTGAATACAGCACCTCAGACTGAGGAAGTCTCTCGGATGAGAGACGAAACGTTTCTACACATTTTTTTGTTGTTTTGCTTTGTTTTTTTTGAATGTCCAGAGGACCAGATTTAACTTTTTTAGATTTTTCTACCTGGATTATTGAGCATGCATCAGGAAGGTTTTAACCTAGCTTTTCACAATAAAGCACACTAATACTTTTCAAAATAAGACTCTGGCTCCATCCCACTTGGATCCAATGGAAGTTCTTGGTTCCTGCTAGCCTTCAGAGACAGACAGGCAGACAGATATGCAAACAGACAGACAGGCAGGCAGACAGAATGACATGCAGGCAGGCAGACAGGCAGACAAGCAGACAGACTGATAAGCAGACAGACAGGCAAACGGACAGTCTGACAGGCAGACAGACTGACATGCAGGCAGGCAGACAGACTGACAGGCAGACTGACATGCAGGCAGGCCGGCAGACTGACAGACAGGCAGACAGACAGGCAGACAAACTGACAGGCAAACTGACAGGCAGACAAACTG